GCTTCTGACAAAGTCCAACACTCATTCATGTTCAAAGTCCTACAGAAAATTGGAATAGATGGCTTCTACTTCAATCTAGTAAAAGCCATTTATGAAAACCCAACAGCTAACATAATCCTAAATGGGGAAAAGCTGAAATCTACTTTTAGAACTGGTGCATGACAAGGATGTCTTCTATCACCACTCCTATACAATACAGTTCTGTATTCATTAGCTAGAGCCATTAAAAAAGAGAAAGAAATAAAAGGAATAAGAATAGGTAGAGAAGAAGTTAAATTATCTTTATTTCCAGATGACATGATACTTTAATTGGAAGACCCAAAAAACTCCACCAAGAAGCTACTAGAATTAATACAGAAATTCAGTAGCATAGCAGGTTATAAAGTCAATACCCAAAAATCAATAGCATTTCTCTACACAGACAACAAACACACCAAGAGGGAAATTATAGAAACAATACCTTTTACAATAGCACCAAGGAAAATGAAAGACCTTGGAATTAATCTAACTAAAGACTTCAAAGATCTTTTCAAGGAAAATTATAGTACTGTGAAAAAGAAGATCATAAAGGATTTCAGAAAATGGAAAGATATTCCATGATCCTGCATAGGAAGAACCAACATTGTGAAGATAGCCATACTCCCAAAATTGCTGTACAGGTTTAATGCAATCCCTATCAGACTACCACCAACATACCTCACAGACCTAGAGAAATAATTCCTAAAATTTATCTGGAACCAAAAAAGACCTAGAATAGCAAAGGCAATCCTGGGCAATAAAGACAAGGCAGGAGGCATTACAATTCCTGACTTGAAATTATACTACTGTGATAAAATTGCTACTGTGATAAAATCAGCATGGTACTGGCAACAAAATAGACTTGAGGATCAATGGAATGATTAAAAGATGATGAAACCCTTACGAACACATTCAGCCAACTTATCTTTGACAAAGGGGTCAAACATACTCACTGGAAGAAAGATAGCCTCTTTAACAAATGGTGCTGGAAAAACTGGCTCTCTACATGCCTAAAACTCAAACTTGACCCACTTCTATAACCGTGCACTAAACTAAACTCAAAATGGATTAAAGATCTAAACATTAAAGCAGAGACACTAAATATCCTGGAAGAGAAAGTAGGAGGAACTCTTGAAGACATA